GAAGGCTCTTGAGCTTGAATCCTGATAAACAAATGTTGGTTTCTGAAGAAAAGAAAAATGTGTTCGTGCAAGTAGTATAATTTGTTTTTTGTTTTTGTTTTTGATGAGTGATATTACTCTACATATACGAACAAAGTATTTAATTAATCTATGTTTAATTTATAATTGAAGAAACTTGCGATATTAACTGCATAAACAGTGGAGTTTGTGTCATTTTGGATTATGGTATCGAGAACTGTCAGTGTATGACTGGTTTTTTTGGACCAACGTGCAATATAGGTAAGCTTTTACAGTTAAGGCTTAAATGTGGATTACGCATGCAGATAAATATAATAGTTTTCCTAGAGTGCAGAACATTATTAACATTTTATACAACATGAATACCATGTAAAAAGATTAGACAGTATGCATTATATTTAATTCAGTTAGAAAGCAACATAATTATGTATGTTTTAGCGTATTTTATTGGTTAGCTTTTAATATTTATTGGCTATCTTTACGTTTAGTTTTGGAGAGCACCAACAGTAATCATGACAAAAATTCTGTGAAAACGCATAGGTTTACCACCTGTTAAATATCCTCTATCATGCCATATGAATAAAGCAGGACTAAAGGTGCATTAACATGATTCACACCAAATCCGAATTTTCGGATCGGCACATCTGCTCAAGCGATCAATAAACGAATCAGTGTGTAAGAAACAGGGACGCTGCAGCTCAGCCCTTCGAAAACACGGCGCGAATTTCTGTTCGGATCCAATGTGAATGCAGCTTAATAGGAAGATTACTAAACATTTACAATTAGTTAACAGCAAAAACACTCAGCAAACGTTAAGACAGATGTGAACATCAGTCATGAGTTTAAGTTTGCAAATGTGATATTACATATTTTGTCCTCATGTTATTAATGACATTAAGACAAAGAAAATAAGATAGAGACAACATTAAAAAAATAGACTATTATTTAATAATTTTAACTTTAAGCAGATATTCTAGTATTATTTAATGGCACAGTTTATTTAATTCTTTAATTAATTTTACATATTAACATTATTGTATTCAAAGAAAAACGTATTAACTTATTAACTAAAAGCATGTTGTAAATCTTTCAGGTATTAGAAAGTCGTCTTTAATTTGAATGAGAATCTGTCAAATGCAATAAATCAGTTTTGAAGAAGCTAATAATGTAATATTATAATATTTAAAACTACAAATATAAGATGTTTTGGTAGTTGATACCTGTTCAACTTCATGCTAGTAGATTTAGAAACTAGATAATTATTTTGTATTATCCAAAATGTTCATACCAAATTCTGCTGATCTTTGGTAGGAATAGGGAACTCATTATTATCAAATATTACTGGTAGAGGAAAGTATGTCTTTCTGTGTATTTTTGTATATTTTTGTGTATTTCTTTAGATCAAGCCCAATGTGATTTCGAAGATCCAAACCTTTGTTACTTTGTACAAGATGAATTGGATGACTTTGATTGGATAAGAACATCTGGATCCACACCCTCATTTCGTACTGGCCCTGAGTATGACCACACATATGGAACATTACAAGGTAATACAAAGTTGACATTTTTCATTCATAAAATCTAAAATGAAATTGTAAAATTATCAATGAAAATATTGCAGAAACTGCATAGTAAATAAAACAAGATAACACAATTATAAATAGATGTAAACAAAAATTCTCTGAAATCGAAACATTTATTTCATTTGCTTACAGGTTTCTACATATACATTGAAACTTCAAGTCCGAGAAACCTCAACGACATCGCTCGCCTTTGGACAATGTCATATCCTCCAACAAACGGCAGATGCGTCCAGTGGTTCTACCACATGTACGGGGCCACTGTGAACACATTGAGTGTGTACATAGTCAATGCAGCAGATACTCTTGGTACACCTGTGTGGTCAATAAAAAACGAGCAAGGAAATGTTTGGCGACGTGGACAAATTTTTGTGGAAACAAGTAGTGCCTACCAGATAGTGTTTGAAGGAATTGCAGGAAGTAGTTATACAGGAGATATTTCATTAGATGACTTCAGGATCACCGATGGAGCATGTGTGCGAAATGGTATTATACACGTTCAGCTTCTTACACTTCACAGCCATAAACAATGTTATAATCCCTGTTGTCACCTTATATATTTACCAAACGTTACCATCCTAGGTCCGATGCAACCTGTCATATTTCCATCTAGCCCTTCCATATATCCATTACCACTTAGATAGCTGCATCCGACCTGTAACCTTATCGTTATATATTTTTGCAATAATTGTTCTCCACATGCCATCAAATTGACGATTGAATCATTAGATTTTGAAGAAATGAATTGTGGCTTAAAATAACACACAACATGAATAGGCATAGTTGTTATTATTTAACATTTATCTTTTAGGTGGGTTATCGTTATTTTGTTAAGTATACTCTCTATTATGCCGGTGATGATATACTTACATGTTGAGAGTTTTGAGCAGAAATCGGCTTTACAGGATCTAACCCCCAGACAATCTCTCGCATACTACTGACTGAAATGCTCAGACATTATAGAAGCAAAAGTTAGCCTACATACATATAATTATTAATAATGCACATTTTGTCAAATCAATAATACATTTACCTACTACCGGTGACCACCCTCTATTATGCCGGTGATAATATAAATATGAGGAATGATAATTGAAGGATCTTGAGCTCTACTCTTGATGAGGACAAAAATGTAATTAAAAAAAATGTTTTTATACAATTAGTATTATTTGTGATGAGAGATGATATTCTATTAATACGAACATTATATTTAAATAGTTTATGTTTAATTTCTATTTGAAGAAACGTGTGATATTAGCTGCTTGAACGGCGGAGTCTGTTTCATCTCAGATTATGGATTCGAAAACTGTCAATGTACGCTTGGTTTTGTTGGACCAACATGCAATATAAGTAAGTTTTTACAGTCATAAAAGGTGAATTAATTTAATTGTTCCATGGGAGTAGGTATTGAGCAGTTTCATCTAAAAAGATTTGTATAAAGAATAATTTATGTAGCCTATATCCACTGGCATGCCATGTTAAATTAAATATGCAGGACAAATAGGGAAAATATCAATAATTTAAAAATCGATTTACAGTAAACATTTAGAAAACATTTAATTAATATAGCAAGCATGACATTTTTTTTACATGCTTTTAGGGTGAAAATTAAAATGAAAATTCCGGTGAAAGTACACTACATTATTTACTCTATGTTAGGTATTTAAACATCTTAATTATATACCTTAAACAGGATGAAAGTTAAGTTATTTTCAATTCAGGATGTTTTGAATAATATGCCAAAAAAGCACTAGAGGTTAGCGTCACGGCGTGACCGTCACGGCGTGACATGTGAAAATCACCATTTTATAGCATTTATGAATTATAAGTATATAAACAGAAAATTGCTCAAACATGAGCAATATGGTAAAATAAATACAATATTATCTGAATAAATATTCGGAAACAATTTAACCCTTTACATAAGAAGCCAGGTATCAAGTCAATCAGATTAAGACGTCATTGATGTGAATGCAAATCGTCTGATAATGTAAAGTAATTAAATGGATTGTCTTAAAACACTCTACACAATTACTTAAATGCATGATGCTTCATGATCCAAAACCAATAATTTTTATTTATCACACAATTGAAAGAATAGCATAGAAAAATACCCTTATAGAGGCTAAATGTCACACCGTGACATGACAAACTTATAAGCATTTTTCTCTTGGCTTATTGAAGTTCTTCATTAAAATGAACATGATTTTAAATTTCGTGTGAATGTCCTTCACAATTTAGCAGAGGATTTTAAAAATTCAGTCACTAGTATTTAAATAAACTGAAAAAAGTCACTTTTTTGTCACAGCGTGACATAGAAAAACTTAGGTTTTTGCTGGATCAATGGTCCATAAAGTAAAAAAGGTTTACAAAAAATTATTTTTCCTGGTAAACAGCAATATGCGGATTACTAAAATCTGCATTTAACTTGAAAAAAATTTGGGCAAGGCCTCAATATATTAATAATAATTTTTTTAAATGTTGTTACGCTGTGACGCATAAACAGCGTGACAAAACAGAAGTATTTTTTCCTCTGTTAATAAAAGTTCTTAAGTAAAATGAACATGATTTCTTAGTAGGTATTAATGTTCTTCAGATTTTAGCCATACATTTTAAAATTTCATCTAGTGGTATTTGAAATAACCTAAAAACAATCACTTTTTACATCACAGCATGACATCGAGAAACATGAGAGAGCAGCTTAGCTTAGTCGGGATCGGCTTATCTGGTGGTAGCCACTGTGTGTGCGCTGAACCGTAGAGATCTCTAGGTCCTCGGTTCAATTCCCATCGCTGCCTCTCCTTGTGTTTTTCAGTTAGAGGGCTGAAATACAAGTTACAATAGCGCACCGTCTTTCGGATGAGACGTTCAAACCGTTGGTCCCGAAAGTTGAAGTTTGACGACAATTCTACCAGATGAGCAGCGGCACTTCATGGTTAACACGAGAAGGGGCAATAGTCACTTTGAAGTACACTTCAAGTCCTTGGGTGCACTAATCCAGCACATAAACTAGAGTGAATGGCGGGTGCAAATGAAGAGAGGGCATGTTAACCTTGAAGCCAAAGTGGTGCTGCTGAACAGGTAGACTCGTCATCAAATTTCACATCACGCAAGTAAGGCTCGTTGAATTTTGAATTCTACCATATCAACGGCTACCATAAGAGTTTTAAGCAAAAATGAACATCTTGTGACACAAAATCAACGTGAATTTGTGGCGTGGAATCCAAAAACTGGCAATCGGTACCGACTTGCTTACCTCGCTGACATTTGCTTCCCGTGCATTATGGGCAGCAAACCTAGAAGTGTCTATTCTGGCTAGACCGAGCAACAATTTAATCCATCTACCTACAGTACCAGCTCCAATAATAGTCATAAATGGTTTAACATATAAAATTAAAGTTTGTAACTAATTGACTTCTCAATAAATGCGTACACTCCAAATAATTTTCAAGTGCAGCGTATACAATTCAATTCACTTTATTTGATATTGACCTTAAATAAAAGGGTATGGTCAAAATCAGGCACAATGCAAACAATGAAAATAAAAAAGGGAAAAAGAAAACCAATGTAAAAAGTTAATAACAAGAAAACAGGCGATGGGGACAGAACCAAATAATTTGATCCCCGTATTTAGGTCGAAGCCTCAATAACAGTAAGCCTTTTAATGCAGATGTAAAAAAATCAATAACAGGTGCGATGACATCATATTCATCAGAAGCCATAATAAAAACAATTTTTTCTACACTTGACATATGTTCGGAGTTTTCATAATAGGCCTTTTTAAGTTCGGTGAATAGCTTGTTTCGTACATCATGGTAAATTGGGCAGCAAATTATAAAATAAAATTCATCTTTAGACTTCATCATTTTTACAAAGGGTACAAAGTCTGTTTCCAGCTTCAGTTTTTTAGAAATTTGTGTTTTATAAAGTGGGGTAATATCCGGGGAAAATTGTTCTAGAGGGAAAACTGTTCAGGGGGAAGCAATTGTCGGCAGGGGGAGGGGGAAAAATACCGGGGGAAAAGTGTTCGGGGAAAAATTTCCGGGGGTGGGGGGGCAATTGTAATTTCCACTGTTCGCAATAATTATACAATTTGTTTATAGAATTATGTAAACCACTCTGATTTTCTGAAACAAAATGTCATCTGCATATATGAGACTGTTCAGTGGTTTTCCATTAACATTTACAGCGTTACATGAATGATCAAAAATGTAAGTTAAATCAGAAAGGAACATATTGAAGAAAACAGTAAAATCAAAAGGCTTTGTTACCATTCAGTTTAATTTAAGACGAAATAAAACCTTTGAATAAATAAACCAAGCAATTTACCACGAACCCCGATTTTATAATGTTTGAACATTAATCCATTTCTCCACACAGTATTGAAAGCTGCCGAAAAATGAATAAAACAAACAAGGATATGAGTTTTCACTAATGCGGTTAATATATTTATCGAGAGTTGTTTTAAGAACTAAAATGTGGTCGCTTGTTCTCGCTCCTTTTTTTTTTTTTTTTTTTATTTTTAATTTGATTTTTATCGGCTAGTGCAGTAAGTCTGTTGAGAAGTATGATGCAAAAAAGCTTACCATGCTGTTACTATCCCATTTACCAACAGACCCTTCAAAAAAGGCATTTTGACGGGTTGGCGAACCAGGTTTTGCCAGAGTCCTTTTTTCTACTTAAGATTCATTATCACAGCAGGCATTGCTAATTATCAGTAAATTAACAGTATAGTATTTAAAAACCAGGCTGAAAATTCATAAATGTTTTGCATTTTTATTACCTTAGTTGTAATTTAAAATAAAAATCATAATGGATATGTTTTTGAATTTTAAAAATCAATAACTTATTTTAGAAGTTACAAAATAGTCTTTGATTTAATTGTGCTAGTATTTCTATAAAATATTCACATTTCATTAGCTTCCCTGTCAATCTTGTTACAAAATCCCCTGAAGCAGTAATTAATAGAGATAAGAAGAGATCAGCAAAACCTTGTTCAACAATTGCAATTTTAGAATGGGGAAGTTTCCTCGAGAAAAATTACTTCCAACTGCAATCCTCAATAGTTTTGAGGTACCGATTTGTCTCTCCTTTTATGAATCACAGTAAGCGTGCTAGTTCTCCAAGCCGCTGCGAAGACGCCCTTTTAAAATTGTTAATGAATATACGCGTTGTGCATTTGATAATAAGTTGTCGTTTGAACTTGATTTTAATATTTCATTTTTTATACCGTCAATTCCGGTAGATTTACCATTATTTAACTTTCTTGCAGCACCCACAACTTTCCATTGAGCACATTCCTGATTATGTTTGCCAATGTTAGGTTGATTATCTTCGGGAGAGTTAAACTTGTTAATAAAATGTTGAAATTGTTGATTTTTATGAGGTGTGTGTATATTCATTATGTTGGAAAAGTGCTCTAACCAAACTTTGAGATTTTGTGATTCGTGTTTTTTTTTTTTTGTTTTTTTTTTTGCAGCAGAGATCCCCTTTCTGGATAGTTAAGACACCTGACGATAATATTAAGTAGAATAATTGTTATTTAAGTAGCACTTATTGTTTTATTCGTCTTTGTTTTATTCCAGAAACTATAAAAACCAATATATAAGCTAGTTTAAGTTCAGACACACGCATGACATAGCGGGAAATAATAATACTCGTTTCAAACACTTAATATTATCTCTAAATCTATAATCATTTTATTATGTCAGAGCACCACCAATATTTTTAACAAGATTTAAACACTATACAAATAGGCATCGTGTTAAATTAAAACTCATAAGCAGATTGTTTTTCTTTTCTTGTTTTTGTTTTAAAATTACGTATACAATTATTTATTTGTCTTTCTAAATGGACAAAATGTTGATGTTATAACTAAGCACTATATTAAGAAAAAAATTATCAATGACAAAATCAAAAGTGTAAACAGAAAGCCCACTAATATATTGTTTGCAACACATTTCTCAAACAAATGGTCTTTCTTTAGCGACCTTTAATGTGCTTGGCTTAACCAAACCGTCTAAAAGAGAACAGCTGGATGTTGACTGCAATGTAGATGTAATCGCGTTACAAGAAACAATAAATGTAAACATAACGAAGATATTAAGTTAACATTAGGAAACAATTTTTTTTCGAATAAAACAAAAAAAAAGTAGCTTTATTATTTAAGAAAAAAATAACAATATAATATCATCAGCTGGATGCAAATTGCTAACAATAGTGCCTATCTTGATGTTGAAATAAAAACAGCCAGTAAAGAAAACACAAAGGCTGCATAATAAACTTTTGTAACAGTTAAAATTACATCAGCATTTTATTAACATTAACATGTAATTTACAACAACGTCAGAACTTATTTATACTTGGTAGTTTTAATGCCAAAATTAATAAACATTGCATTGCGAAAATGACAATGGACTTTTTTTTACAGTAATATTGTTTAGTATGCACATTGTAAATATATAAACAATTTTAGAAACAAATTACTCAGATTTATCGTTGACCATAAACTTCATATATTAAAAGCAGCTTTCAAATACAGTACAAGGCACATTCACAACGCATATTTATCGTAAAGATCAGATAAAAGGAAAAATACATCTTACCAGTTTATAACCAGATTGTTAATACTCCAGAGCGCATAGGGGAACTTTTAAACACAGTGATCAAAATTGGCATGTTATAGATTTGTATACGATGAAATATATAGAACTATTAATTAACAGTTATTGGCAAAGATGTATTATTATTACCATTATTGCTATTATTATTATTATTACAAAATTGAAAGAAACTGCAACTTATATTGTAAAACTTAAATAAATTTAGGTGTCGAGTTGAAGAAGTTGAAGTTGAAGAATAATGTAAGATATTATTTAAAATATCAAATCAAAGATTTTGTGTGGTTATTTTCACATAGAACTAATTTTGAGGGCCGGTTCGACTCCATAAAAGTGACATTTGTGAAGTACATGGATTTTTTAAATCAACTGAAAATTTCATACCTAATTCATTAGATATAAGATAGGAATAAGATGAAACTTATTTCCAAAAATGCTGGTAGTGCAAAATGTAGAATATTTTCAACTATTAAAGTTACAATTATTATTTGCGTTATTCCAACCAATGTGACTACTGCAGTTACTTTTATTTTTTCTTCTATAATTTTTAGCGCAAACACAATGTGATTTCGAAGATCCATACATTTGTTACTTTGTACAAGATGAAACGGATGATTTTGATTGGATAAGAACGTCTGGATCAACACCCACATCTGGTACTGGTCCTGAGTATGACCACACTTACGGAACATTACAAGGTATTAAAAAGCTGACATGAATTTATATTT